TCTCTCTCTCTCTCTCTCTCTCTCTCTCTCTCTCTCTCTCTCTCTCTCTCTCTCTCTTTCTCTGCCTCTACTACCCTCCTGGCTCCCCTCCCCATGCCCTGAATAAACTCCATTCTATACTATACCGGCGTGTGGCTGGTGCCTCAGAGGGAAGAAATGCCTCCGAATGGGCCCCCATACCTCTCCACACACCCACAGAACATACTCCCTTTATCTCTTTATCTTTTTATAAACACATCAGTCCTATAATCCTAGCACTCTGAAGGTTGAGTCAGGAGCTTGATGATTTTGTAGCTAGCCTAGGCTATACAGACCTTGTCTTGGAGGAAAAAAAGAACAGTGTCTAGAGAGATGGCTGAGCATTTAAGAACCCTGTCTGACCTGCCAAAGGACCTAGGTTCAGTTCCTAGAACCCACACAGCAGTTTACAACCATCTGTAACTCCAGACCCAACACCCTCATCGGGCCTCTTCAGGCACATAAACTCAGGTAAAACAGTCAGACAAAATAAAATAGATTAATTAAATAAATTTAAAAATCAATCTTAAAAGCTTCTGATCACAGCAGTGAAATAGCCATGCAAGGGACAAAGCTCTCAAGATGCCATGACTGAGAGTTTGCTGCCTCCCCCCCACCTAGACCCCTACCCAGACCCCTACTCCAATCCTCCCACTCCTGCTCCCATCCCCCCACCCCCACCCCCAGGAAAACAGCCGTGGCACAACCCCTGATCCATGTGGCCAAGTAACTGATAAGCAGTAGCTTCCAGGAGGGTTTTATTTGGGCTCTGAGGGACCTGTCCAGCCTAGCATCCTGTGGGAAGGCTGGCGGCAGCAGGCGTGTGAGGCTGCTGCTCATACCTCCAAGGATCAAAGGGCACAGGTGGGACAGGAAAGAAGGCAGGCTCCAAACACCAAAGCCCATCCCAAGAGACCCACTCCTTCCAGCCAGGTCCCACCTGCTGCTAATCTCACTCCCAAAATAGCACCAGCGTCTGGGCAAACAAATATCCAAATGCATGAATTTGTAAGAGACATTTTCTTTTCCTTCTTTTTTTTTTGGTTTTTCGAGACAGGATTTCTCTGTCCTGCAACTCATTCTGTAGACCAGGCTGGCCTCAAACTCAGAAATCCGCCTGCCTCTGCCTCCCAAGTGCCGGGATTAAAGGCGTGCGCCACCACTGCCTGGTCAGAAACATTTTCTAACAACCATATTTAGCTGTTCTCACAGATTGACTGTCTAGGCATGGACTGCACTTGAAACAGCAGTGACTGTGGAGGGACAAGAATGTGTGACAAATGGGTAGCAGTGGCTTTCAGGCATTCTAGACACCTACCTATGAGGCAGCCAGGCCAGTGAAGTGGAGAAGTCTTCCAAGTACTTGTCCCACTGGTCCAGCAGTCCAAACATGCTAGGCTGTACTAGTGGAACACTGAGACTCCGCTCCCAGCCTACCTCGTCTTGCTGTATGCCGTGTGCACTGTAATTATACACGACCCCTGAAAACCCAAAGCAGAGTCAGCCACTCTGTAAAAGGTGCTCAGAAGATGACAGTAGCCATTAAATCCTGTAAATCTGGGTCACACTTGTCTGCTACTGTCAGAGCGGCTGTCCATCTAGTGCAGTGGTTCTCAGCCTTCCTGATGCTACCCCCCTTTAACACAGCTCCTCACGTTGTGGTCACCCCCAACCATTAAATTATTCCATTGCTACTTCATAACTGTAATTTTGCTACTGTTATGAATCATAATGTAAATATCCAACAAGCAGCCTATCTGATCTGCAGCCCCCACAGTTATGGATAGGTGGGGCCTGGCTGGATAGTTTCCTGCTCTTGACTTCTATGCTGGGACTGAGGCCCAGCACAGGCTAGGCAAGCACTCTGACGCAGCCACCACCCCCTGCCCCTGCCCACCTTTCTAAAGCACAAAACCACAGACCTCAGCACGTCCCATTTCATTCCTCAAGCCTGGGATGTGGGGACCCAGTGTAGTGGGGAGACCCTGTGTAGTGGAATGGGTATGAAAGGGAGGAATCAGAAGCCAAGGGTCCACATTCTGTTTCAAACCCAAGAACTGAGATCTTGATCAACTCAACCTCTGACCATCTGTTTCCTTCTCTTAAAATCCAACACAGACATGTGCAAGTTTGTAAGGCTCCTTCTGAAAAGACATTAAGATGGGTCCAGGGCTTAGGGGTGTGGCTCAGTGTCGGTCTGCAGGATGCTCTGCCTAGTCCACCCCAGCAACACTACAAGGTGTTTTCGTCTTCTAAACACATAGACTGTAAGTAGTGTTAACTTGCCAAGTCACATGACCTGCTTAGGGCTGCAGTAGGAGAATGGCAAGCTGTTGCTGTGACCTCATCCTGGCTGGAAACCCTCCTCTCCCCTTAATGGTATTGTAGGGTTTTCTTACGCTGGGGAAATGTAGGAAATGCTCACCGCGTGTGTTAGTGATCCCAACGTGCAGGTCAGACTTCCCGTCGTACTCCCTGAAACAGAGGGGTATTATTTGCATTGGGTGTTATTTTGATAAGAAGCCTTGCTACATAGCCCAGGCTGTCCTGCAACTCAGAGTCTTCCTGCCTCAGACCCCAGGACAGTTGCAACTGCAGGTGTGCCACCTTCCCCACCAATGAGCACTTCATGAAGCATAGGCGTTTAAAAAGAGGAGAGCATAGACTTCCCCCGTGTCATCAGCTGTAGGCTGGCTAAAGGGTGCAGCAAAGCAGAACTCCCACACTTCCACAGTCCTATGGTGGAAGAGCTTTCTTCTCCCCTCTGGGAGTCCATTCCCTGTCCCACCAGCTAATGTGGGTAAAGGTCCTGGAGGCATCTCAGAGGTCCCCAGCCTTCTTTTATATTTGTCTGTTTGTTTTGTTTGGGGGGAGGTATTTGTTTTGTTTTGTTTTGTTTTGAGACAGGTTTCTCTGTGAGGCCTTGGCTCTCCTGGATCTCACTCTGTAGACTAGGTTGGCCTTGAACTCATGGAGCCTCCTGCCTCTGCCTCCCAAATGCTAGGATAAAAGGCATGTGCCATTACCACCCTGCTTGGTTCTCAGCCTTCTTAACCACAGCTCAGTATAACCTGTGGCCACTGCATTCCCTGAATCACTGTTTCTTACCATTGCTGTTGGCTTGAGGTTTTTCTGGTTTGGATTGGTTAGTTCTGGGATCAAACCCAGGGTCTTACACATGCTCAGCACATGCTGTCTATCCCACGCACACCCTTAAAGTACTCTTTTATATTTGTTTGGTTTTTGTTTAAGACGAAAGCTCATCATGTAGCCCAAGCTGGCCTTGAACCTATAAGCCAACATCAATTTTTTTGTTATTGTACATTAACAAAATAATAGGCTTCATCATGACACTTTCTGACATGTATATAACGTGCTCTGACACGGTTTGTGCACCTTGCTCAGCAGGTCATTCCTAGGAAGGCACAGTCCTGCGTCAGCTCTCAGCTGGGTAAGTGATTCTTCAATAAGGCAAGCGCCCCCAGCTTTATCATGACTACATGGATGACTACAACTCCTTCTCAGTCAGCCCCAGGGACTGTTCTGAGCTTACAGAGACCCCATGGGCTCAGAGGCTAGACTTGAGTGAGCAAGAGTGAGCCAGAACATGTCTGTGCCGAGTGCTGGCTCTGCCCCTCTCTGGTGCTCCACACGCCTCATTTCCCAGCTCCGTCTTAGCCGGACCACCATCCTTCCCATAAAATTTCAGTCGTTTGACAGTTCACTGGGCCTGTCGAGTCAGGCTGATGACACAGGAAAACATGAGTCTCTTCCCTTCTGGCTTGCTTCCAGAAAGATCATTTCAGTTTTAGATTTGTGCGTCTGTGTTTTCTTTAGTTCATAATACCAGAGTCTGAAGTTCAACAAATCTTAATTAACTGATGAGTAGAGGGGGGATACAAAGTGTGGAAACAGGCCTGGCCACTCCTTCTCCTGGAGCCCGGTCACACAGGTCATGAGCAGGCCTCCTCTGCAGCTCTGGACCATGCCCTTTGCTGGCTGAGTGGAATTCAGGCTGAGTGTCAATGTCTCCTACTGTTCAGGCTCCTCTCTGCAGCCTGCACGCTGCACAGCCATGAGCAGCAGGGTTGACCAACCCAACTTCATTTAAGCAAAGCCTGGTGAGCCCCTGGGTCACTGCTCATTCACCTTCTGTCACAAGTGTTGTGGAACTTGAGGCAGTCTTGGATATGTGGATGAAAAGGAAGGAATTGTTTGAGTCCTAGGCTAGGACTGCCTTGGTTGTCTGCAGCCACCACCGCATACAACCTACCCCACACCTCTTTGCTCATTCTGCCCATGTCAGTAAGGACCGTGCCCACCAGAATTAGTGTTTGCCAGAGAATAAATAGTTGCTCATTACAAGGGAAGGAAAGAGAGTGAAGGATCAGTCTTCCCCTTTACCAGGAAGCAACTCCATCACTGATGGCATAATCTTTCCTGAGGATATTAGTCAAGAGGAGATCCTGTCATCAGCAAGCTAAGGAAAGAAGTGCTGGGAGGATCAGGAGTTCAAGGCCAGCCTGGGCTACATAGCAAGTTTAAGGCCAGCCTGAGCTAAGTGAACAACAACGAACAGTTAACAAAAAAGGTGGGTTTTTAAGCAAAAGAGAAATAATAAAAGATGAGGGTTTGGATCTACCCAAAGGAATAAGGAGCTCCAGAAAAGATGAATATTTGAGTAATATCAAATATATGTTTTATTGAAAGATAATTGTCGTCGGGCAGTGGTGACGTTCGAGTTTAATCCCAGCACTTGGGAGGCAGAGGCAGGCGGATTTCTGAGTTCGGGGCCAGCCTGGTCTACAGAGTGAGTTCCAGGACAGCCCGGGCTATACAGAGAAACCATGTCTCGAAAAACCAAAAAAAAAAAAAAAAAAAAAAGAGAGAGAGAGATAATTGTATGAATCTAAAATTAATAATAACTCACATATATATAAATTTCCACATTATTAATATTGTACTTTTAAAAATTTTGTGAGTACAAGTGTTTTGTCGTGTGTGTGTGTGTGTGTGTGTGTGTGTGTGTGTGTACCATGTATGTGCACTACCCACAGAGGCCAGAGGAGAGAGTTGGCTTCCCTAGAACTGGAGTTTCAGATGGTCATGAGACACCATGTAGGTTCTGGGAACTGAACCTGCGTCCTCTGGAAGAGCAGCCGGTGCTCTTTTAATAGCTGAGCTGTCCTTCCAGCCCTAACACTAGGTTCTTTTTGTTGAGTTTTCACAGTTAACATTAACTTAACTTTGCACTTTCAGGGAAAAAATATAATAACTTTTTATTGAAATTTTATTAACTTGTATGTTTTAAGACTGGAAGAGGCTCATGTGTTGGTGACTCATGTTAGCACTCAAGAGGCTGAGGCAGGAGGATCACATGTTCAAGACCACCCTGGTCAACATAGCAAATTCCAAGTCAGTCTGTGTTACACAGCAAGAGCCTGTTTCAAGGGAAAAGAGAAAGGCAGCAGGCGAGTGCAGCTTAGCCCTGAGCATGTGTCCAGCATGTAGCCTTATGAGACTTGAATTCCACCTCTAGCACTATAAAAGGAAGAGGAAATGAACAGAAGGAAAGGGGGAGGGACCCTCAGACTTCCTTGCTAATTTAACTCATCTCCATCGAGAGCCGTCTCTCGCAGCTTGTACTTTGCTCTGCACATTGTACCTGCTTGTCACATAAACTGTGAGCTGTCGCTTACATATCTCGCCAATAACATTCACTGCCTGACTATTCCCAGTCGGCCACTCAGCACATCTTTTTCTCCTAAAATCACTCGAGCAGGTGTCTTCATACAACGTGCAGCCTTTCACGTACTACACAAAAGTATGCACAAAACTCGGGGCCTTACCCTAGGCAGGCAAGCCACCGCACACCTTGGCCCCACACCACCCACTATGATGGACAAACAGGCCTGCAGATGAAGGACAACAGTCTATCCAAAGCAACCCCACACACACTGCACTGCACAGCACAGCACAGCACAGCACAGCACATGTCCTTCAGAGAAGGTTTGATGACTGACACACAGCAGAAGTACATGCATGGTTTGTCATAACTCAAGCCACTGTACCTAAGGAATGTCCCTCTTGTGGGTTTGAGGAGGAAGGAGCATTTCTCTTGATGACCGTTGGAGAATGGATCGGAGATGCTGATAGGTGCGTCCTCTATCCTGGCAGAGCCCAAGTCCCCCTGGCAAAGAGGGCAGCATTGGGGTACACTGAAAGTGTAGATGGACCTCTCGCAGTGCCTGAATTTAATTAGAGGCTTCCCAGCTCCTTCAAAGTGCATTCTGTGTGACTGCTGGGCCACCAGAACAGGTTTCTGGAGACTTCCTTTTCCTCATTATACAGCTGGCTAACTCACACCACCTGAGTAACCTGATCTACAGTGACATCATCATGGATGGAAGCTTTAGACACTAAGCTGGGTAGATTAACCAGTAACCAGGCTGCACCTGCTGGACTCTTAAAGAGCTAGTTCTTATTTGAGCCAGCTTACCAAGTTTCTTTGTAGGTGCTGTACATTTGCAACTGGTGACAGCCAGCTCCTACTCATCCTCTAAAGCCCTGCTTTCCCATACAGCCTGTCTCACCTTCCTTAAGCCTTTTCTTGTGATGCTATCAGTAATTCATTGTGACTGCCTTCCTGCTGGAGCAGATACATTTTTATAGTCTATTTTCAGTCTGGGGTGGGCTCAGAGTTCATCAGAGGGTCGTCAGATAAACAGGAGGGGATTGGCCCTTCTCTTCCCTGGCCAGCAGGGTGCGCCAGGTAACAAACGCTGAAAGTTGGAAAGTTACAGGGAGCCTGCTGCATAACTTAGTCCAACATCATAAAGGGCAGACTCAATCCTCCAATTATTCGTGAGATAGGACTTTGTGTCCTGAGCCAGTTGGATGGGGAATTTGGAGAGGAGGCAAGTCCCAGCTTATAGGAAAAGGGGCAGGAATTTCTGGTGATTAAGAGATTTTAAAAACCACTGTCTTGTGGTTTTAAATCCTCACATTTGGGAGGCAGAGGCAGGCAGACCTCTGTGAGTTCAAGGCTAGCTCTGGTCTATAGAGCTAGTTCCAGGACAGCCAGGGTTCTACAGAGAACCCTATCTCAAACAAACAAACAAACAAACAACAACAAAAGAAAAACAAAAAACTCACAACCCACTGTCTGGTGTCAAATCAGCAGGAGGCTATTTTTGCCTTTTCTCTATGCTGGTGTCCTGTCTGCACAATAGTTTAGTGAAGACTGCTTTGTTTTCATGGGCCTTTTGAGTCATTTATCTTATTTCCCACACTGCCTTCCTTCTTTTTTTCTCAGATAAACCTTCCCTTAAAGGTACATCCCCTTCCCCAGACATATCCATCTTACATTGTAACTAAAAATAAAAGCTAAACCAGTGTACATTGGATAAGAATAAATAAATCAAAAATCTACCATATAGGAAGTAGGCTCTTTGAGTCCAGCAGTACCAGATGGCCTCAAGTTTCTAGACTAGAAATTCTCAACCTTCCTAAGGCTGTGACCCTTTAATACAGTTCCTCATGTTGTGGTGACCTCCAGCCATACAAGTATTTTTGTTGATACTTCTTAACTGTAATTTTGCTACTGTTATGAATCATAAAGTAAATGTAATTTACATTATGCAGATGGTCTTAGGTCTCTGTGAAAGGACAGGTTGAGAACGGCTGCTTGCTATCATCAGTCTCAAGTATGGCAGGCAGAGATGTGAGACAGGAGGAGGGATGCTGTAGGACACCACTGACAGGCGTGGGTGACAGGCACCACAGATAGGTGTGGGTGACAGGAGCAGCAGCACCTGGCAGGGGAGCTTATTTCAGAGTTCACCATCTTCGTTGGGGCTGGGCATCAGCTGTTGTGTTCCTGGCTGTGTACCAAGGCCGTACAGAGTGCTGTGTTCTCATTAAGGTGTACTGAGATGTGCTGGCTACAAACTACCAGTGTCTTACTGTCATAGGCAGGGCTGGTCTACCTGACCACTGGCTGTGGAACAGCCCCTTCACGTGCCCTCAGGAGAGGGCCAGAGACACGCCTGAGGAAGGCAGGATTGTCTTTAAAGACATTAGGCTGGATGAAGTCTTCTGTTGTTACTTGAGGCCACTGTGCAAAGCCCTGTCCTCTCAGCTTTGAAGCTTTACACCCATACAGAAAGTCTGGGGAGTCTTTGTGACAGACACTCCCTTAGGCAAATGCCCCTAAGTCTTTTTGCCCCCTGCTTTCTCAGGTTTCTCTAGGAGGCCCAGTTTTAGGTTATTGCATTTTGTTTTGTTTTGTTTTGTTTTGTTTTCTCCCCAGCGCCTTCATCGTTAGATTCCTTGTAGCCTTTTCTCTTCCATCGTGTAGTGAGGTAGACTCTGCTCATAATGTAAATATCTGCTATGCAGATGGTCTTAGGCCTCTGTGAAATGACAGGTTGAGAACAGCTGCTTTCTCTCATCAGTCTCAAGTACAGCAGGCAGAGCTGTGAGCATCTCCATCTTCTGGACAGCTGCTCTTCTGGCAGGGGCTGGAGTCTCCATATCAGATGCTAAGGGAAGGTGTAGAGTTCCCACTGGATGGGACCAAATGTCAATGGATACTGTCAGCCAGGTGAGGTCCACTCACAGTAGATGCAGAGGCCACATGCTTCTCAGACTCCACTGGGCTGGATGATGTTGGCACAACTTGCTTCTATGGTGGAAGGAGAGGGCCACTATCTAACCCACTAACTGGGGTGCAGGGTAAAGATGGGTGTGGGTGGAGCCATTCTCCCTCCTACACTGAATAGCTCATTCGGACTCATGTTACAGAACATCTCTAGTCAATTATTCATATTTAGTTTTGTGTTTTCCCACAGAGAGGCTCTTGGGCTTGGGGGCTGATATTTTCTATTTTTATTTCATGAGAAAAAAAGAACACACTAAATGTATTACTTTTAGGCCAGAGTCGGGGACATAGCTCAGGTAAGGCCCTCGTGTTGTGTGAGGCCCTTGTACCTCCCTAGCACTGAACCAGAAAAAGAGAAAGAAATATTGTTGACCCCATGTCTTAGTTAGGGTTTTCCTGGTATGAACAGACACCATGACCAGTGCAAGTCTTAAAAAGGACAACATTTAATTGGGGCTGGCTTACAGAGGTTCAGAGGTTCAGTCCAGTATCATCAAGGCAGGAACATGGCAGCATCCAGGCAGAGATGGTATAGGAGCTAAGAATTCTACATCCTCATCTGAAGGCTGCCAGCAGAATACTGACTTCCAGGTAGCTAGGATGAGAGTCTTAAAGCCCACACCCACAGTGACATACCTACTCCAACAGGGCCACACCTTCTAATAGTGCCACTCCCTGGGCCGAACATATACAAACCATCACACCCCATAAAAAGTGGACTGACATGATGTGTCTTAATAAACTTGATTTAATGCACTAGTTTTTTAAACAATTATTTTATGTGTGTATGTATGCTAACATGCGTTCATGTACAGCAGCACTCTTATGTAGGTCCCTGAAGAGTTCAGAGGTCATCAACCCCCCCTAGAGTTACAGGTTGTCCTGAGCTGCCTACTGTCGTGGCTGGGAACTGAACCTCGATCTTCTTGAAAGAATGGTAAGCTACCCCCACCCCCACCTCTGATTTTTAAAGACAGGGTTTCTCTGTGTATCCCTGGCTGTCCTAGAGCTCTGTGGATCAGACTGGCCTCTTAAACCAACTAGCCTTCTCTTTAATCCTACTCCTGCCCAACTTTATTTTTTTTAGACAAGGTCTCAAATAGCCCAGAATGAGCTTAAACTCTGCCTCCAACTCTAGCCTGCTGAGATTACAGGCGTGTACTGGCTACTGTTTGTGTCGATTTGACACAAGCCAGAGTTATTTGGGAAGAGGGAACCTTAATTGAGAAAGTGCCTCCACCAAGCTGGCCCGTGGACACACCTGCAGTGCGTTTTCTTGATTGATAATTGATGTGGGAGGATCCAGCTCACTATGGGTGGAGCCACCCCCGGGCTGGTGGTCCTGAGTGCTACGAGAAAGCAGGCTGGGCAGGCCATGGGGAGCAAGCTGGTTCACGGCACTTCTCCTCCACTGTTGTGGCTGCAGTTCCTGCCCTGACTTCCCTCAGTGATGAACTGTTGCATGGAACTGTAAACTAAAATAACCCCTTTCCTTCCCAGGTGACTTATAATCATACGTGATTTTTATCACATCAATAGAAAAATAACTAAGTCAACCATCATGCACAGTTTTTGCAGTGCTGGTGTTTAACCTGGGACTGTGCACGGGGGTGGGGGGGAACACTTTACCAACTGAGCTATACCCTGGCCCTTGAAAACCTCCCTCCCTCCCCTCTCCTTCTTATCATATTCTCAATTTTCTTCTCACCCCATCCCCTTCCCACTGAATCCCCTCTTTTTCTTCCCAACCAGACCCCTAGTTGCTTTGGTGTGTGTGTGTGTGTGTGTGTGTGTGTGTGTGTTTAATTGCCCACTGAGTTTCATTAAGTTGGTTTGCAACAGCATGGATAGGAGTCATTTACTTGAGCAAGGGTAGCTTGCTAGCGGCTCTCTCCCAGGAACCACTAACTTCTTATAGCTGCCTGTGGAGAAGGTGGGTGTTTATGAGTCCCTCCCTCATGCATGACAGAATGCTGATGTGCCTAGTATTTTTCTCTTTCTTCTTCAGATAGAGTCTCACTGTGTACTGTCAGATCTATATTCACTATGTAGACCAGGCTGCCCTCAAGCTCAGAGACCTAACTGTCTCTGCCTCCTAATTTAAAGGATTAAAACTAAGCGGGGTGGTGGTGGCGCATGCCTTTAATCCCAGCACTTGGGAGGCAGAGGCAGGCAGATTTCTGAGTTCGAGGCCAGCCTGGTCTACAGAGTGAGTTCCAGGACAGCCAGGGCTACACAGAGAAACTCTGTCTCGAAAAACCAAAAACCAAAAAAAAATAAAAAATAAATAAATAAATAAATAAATAAATAAAGATTAAGAATAAAGGCAATGACTTAGTTAGGGTTTTCTGCTGTGAAGAGACACCATGAGCAAGGCAAGTCTTATAAATGACAACGTTTAATTGGGGCTGGCTTACAGGTTCAGAGGTTCAGTACATCATCATCAAGGTGGGAGCATGGCAGCATCTGGGCAGACATGGTGCAGGAGGACCTGAGAGTCTCAAACATCTTGGGATCTCCAAGGCAACTTCAGTGTTACAGCTTCTTGTTTTGAAATCTAGGATCCACATATGATCTTCTTTCCTCCTCCAAAGGGCTGGCGTCACTTCTGTAGCTCTGCCCTCTGTAGCACTCTAAACTCAGGTTGATCCATTGCCACTGCGGTTCTCAGTGATCATCCCATGGTACTGGCATCTCCAATATGCTAGAGT